TAGCTTCAGCCATGAAGGTAAGACTGCTGCTCGTGGCGTTGTAACATGATATCTTGCGTCGGTGGTTCTGTCGCCAAAACCCCTGACTATTTTCTCAACCAGATAAGCTGTAGTGTGTCACGATCACAGGTACAGATCAGAACCCAATAGCACGACTCAGATACAACCAGTGTTTAGCAATGTTCAGTTTATTCAGGTCAGGGACAGGCAGGGTCAAAACCAGGGAATCCGTCAGACAGGCAACAAAAACCAGACAGGGAGCAGGCAGGAACTCGAGATCCGTATACAGGCAGGCAGGGGTCAAAAACCGGGCAGGACAAAACTAGGCTAGAGACCAACACTCACTGGAGAGCTTGGCGGAAACGACAAGACAATCTGGCAAAGGACAAGTGATAGTGAGGTGGTATAAATACTGTGGAGTGATGAGGGAATGAGTAACAGGTGAGGGGAAGGGCTGGGGAGACCAGGTGAGGGAAGTGAACTGATTACAAGGGCCTGGAGGAAGGCGAGATCTGAAATGACAGGAGAGTTTAGATGAGCCACCAAACAAACAATAATAGAAGTGTCTAACTTGTGAAATAGTGACAGTTCTTACATTTAATTTTAGACCTTTTGCCACTCCAGTTGGAATTATGGTGCTAATTTTGCTGGAAAGTGATTCAGATAATCATCAAAATATGACACTTTTATATTATTATTGGTTTTTGTCTTCATTAAACAAGAAACATGCATAAAAATGTATTAATCCAAGACATGATTTATGCTTATTTCCATCTGCAATTCCTGGTGCAGGTACACACGTCATACTAAAACCTATGACTAAAACAGACACTTAATACATTAAAAAGTCTATCACAGTAACAATTTCAAAACTCATTTTGGTTTTGCTATATTCAAACAGACAATACTAAATGTCAATACTTTATCCCAGATTATATTTTTGACCCTTTAACTTTTTCCTAAATTGCTCTTATACTGTTTGTATATACCTCTTTTTTTGACTCCATTCATCTTTGTTTATTTTGTGCTGCTGCAACAGCTGCATTTACAGGGCTCAAAAAGGTTAAAAGTTATTTCAGCAAAATACTGTATCTGTTTGATGCTGTACTTTTGTTGGCAGAGGCACTAGTCATTTGGAACAATGGTTCAAATACATAATTCAACATACATAATTCAATACGACATCAAAACATACACAGCAGTAGGTTAGGACATAACGCTGCTCTGTGCTATGCTATTTCTGCTTTAATATATCATGCCGTTGTGTTGTTCATAGAATGTTGGACCATTTCACAAAAAATCTAACATAAAAAAAAATATCTGTATGTTGAGGTAGATTACGGAAGCCCAGAGAGGGAAGTCATTTGTTGAATTTAAATTCCTTGGAAGTGGAAAAAAGTGTTCTAGTCTATTTCTGTCCATCTGTAAAAACAGGGAAAATAAGTAGACATATATGTTGTTGTAATATTAATTTGGGCCACAGTGGGCTGACGTGACCCATTTCCCCATGTCCTAAATCTACCAACAAACATAAACGTTTTGCTCAGGTTTTAATCTCTCAATGAATTCTAAATGCAAGGTGCAAATATTGTTTGTTAGCAAGCTACCACGCATTTAGAACCTGGGGAAGTGGTCTACTCACAAAATCCTCAAAATAAATCACTTGCCAAAACTTTTCCACACACTTGTTCAAAGGATGAAGAATAAGTGAGGTAAGGATTATTCTGACTGATTATTCAAACCTTTTTTCTGCTGTTCTTAAGTCATAGGCACAGATTTGTGATGTACTAGATCAGTTGTTCCCAACCTTTTTTCCCAAGAGCCCCCCCAAATGACTCCTGTCGGAAGTTGCGCCCCCCCACACATAATGGGGGGGCGCAACAGCGATAATTAAAGTTTAAAAGTCTCAAAATGCTACAACTACTGTCACAAACTGGATGAATGTGAAGTATTTTGTTAAAGGAGGATGAAAGCGTAATTAAGGAGCACTATTGGAGTGACTTTGATGGTTATTGGACTCACGATTAATTCATTTGGATGCCCGCTGTATGAATAAATTAAAGGATGGCGCAAGTGGAAACAATTCACAAAGGGATTAAACTGTTTAAAACACATGCTTGGTTTGGACACTTTACGCGCAGAAGAAACATTTCTATTAAAGAAAGAATTATACATTTCTGTCTTTTTATGCCTTTATTAGCTACTAACTTCACCAAAATTGTAAAAAAAGAGTGGACAGCTAGCATGTCTCTTTCCAAAGTTAAAGTGGACACACAGCTCAGTTATTGCATGTTAAAACCATCTCTTTTTATAATCATGACATTTTCCATAAACATTTGAGATTATCTAGAGGTCTCTAACACTTTCTGCCCACTTTAAACATAGCTAAATTAGAGACTGAGAAAATCGTTTTATATTGCCTTTCTATACACTTTCAAGCCCTTTTCAGAGAAAATGCTATTCATCCTTTGATTTTCAGTTTATTGTAAATGGGCATGGAATTAAACTCCCTATTTCTTCCACTACACCCTTATCACTGTGTTTTGGTTTTGCACGGCGCTATTCTTATTTCACAGAATTTTATGCAGGGTTGGTTTGAGGCTGGGTTGGCATGGAGCGAATGACAGAGTGGAGGTTAATATCATGTCTGGTTGACATAATGCAGCTTGTTGCTTATCTTCTTATTTGCATGTACAGCACTTTGGCTCATTTTTAAGATGTGCTATATATAAATAAAACCTGATTTGATTTGTACATAATTTGTATTTCAGAGTTATGATGTCATTGAATGTGCCTTGTGATTTTGACTCCCCCTCCCTCCGCTGCAGGCATGTGCATTGCCTCTGCGATCTCTGTGCTGATGATACTGATATGTGGGATGGCAGCATACGGTGCATACAAGGTAAACTGATGAGTCATTAGGATTTCAGTAACACCTTCTATGACACCAATGTAGATAAAGCATTACAACGTGCGGCGTAAGCTGATTTAATTCATTACAAGCTGGGTATACCACTATAAGTGGTCAAAATTTACTTCAACTACTTTTAATATATGAATGAATGCTTTTAACTCTAATAATAAAGTGCTATATGCCAATTATAACACATTAAGGTATGTTAATATTGCATTATAAACATAGGTGTCATAGAAAGTGTTGTTGATGTTCTTCATAATACTATTTACAATGCTACTGGTTAAAATAAGGCTAAATGTACTGTGTTAAAATAATACAAATATTTGTATTTTAAACATAATGTAATCTCCCAGTTCTAGCTCTGATTGATGTCCACAATATCTAACTTAAATACCTAAAAGACATATCTCTGTTTCAGCTGCATCCTGCCTGGATCATCCCCTTTTTCTGTTACCAAATATTCGACTTTGCTCTGAACACCCTGGTGGCGATCAGCGTTGTGGTTTACCCCAACACGATACAGGATTACCTGCAGCAACTGGTACGAGACTTCAAGTTTTTTCCTCTTGAAAGTGAAGTCAGTGATGTTTAACAGCACAATATTGAACTTTATGGTTTAGAAAGGCTTTTGTAGGTTCTGAAATGTTCTCAGTTCAGTACTGATGGATGTACAGTTACAAATGCCTCTACTATCTAATGCTCCTTGCACCTCAAATAAGCGCTGTTTTTTTTCGGACTCCTTTGCAGCCTGATAACTTCCCTTACAAAGAGGAGATCGCTGCTCTCAGTAATATTTGCTTGGCCCTCATCGTGCTGATCTTCATCGGCTCTATTCTATTCTTCAAGGTAAGGTTTTCTTTCTCTCTAATTAATACTTCTTCATACACTTAAGAACACGTAGAGTCATTACAGACCTGCCAGGGTTGTATTTCACAACACATTTTCTTACAAGAGAAACTATGTCTATTTCAACCTTGACAGAGGCACCTGCTTTTAATGTAACTTTCTATATTGATATACCTGTATCTAGTGCTCACGTTTATTTTTAAAGTTTTGTATTTTTTTTGAATGCAAGACTTACCAGGAATACCACTGACACATGAATGAACCTCCTCACAAAAACATTGTTACTCTAGGGATCCCTGACCTTTCATCTAGCGCCATCATCAAGTAAAATGTTCTACCTGACCTATATTTTGAGTTATGACAAATAACTGCTTAAGATGAATATAAGATGGTGAATGTATTACCGCATAAACAGTGACATGTTAGTGTTGTGATTGTGAGCATGTTAGTATGCTGACATTTGCATTTAGCTCAAAGCAATCACTTTGCTAACACTAACTGCAGAAGCTCCAGTAAAGCTACCAGATATGTTATTTAAAGGGGACCTATCATGCAAAATGCACTTTTGTACGTCTTTTATACATGAATATGTGTCCCCGGTGTATCAGGGAACTCACCAAGTG